AGGGTCACCTGATCTCCTTTGGCGACCTTCTGGCGAGCAAACTCAACAAGAAAGCCAGATTCACAACCGTGTTGCTAACTTAACAACTGCAGTGATTCCCTTAACCAGTGTAGCAGGAAAAGTTGTTGCAGGGAACAAAACGCGGTGGACAAACTTCTCACTTGGCAACATAAATTCTGGGCTCAGTTGTGGCCGTACGTCGAGGACTACCTCGAAGTAGGGCTTCGGAAGTAGGGCTATGTCCAGGGGTGGGCTGCTGGGGGTTCGCAGGGGTTCAGGAGAGCCCCTACCTAAGGTCCTGTGCAGTTCAGAGATCCCCCAAATCCCAGAGTTCGATCCTAGACAGCGGCAGTTTATTTGTCTCTCTGGGCACAATGAGTAAATACCGTCTGCAAACTCCTCACTGGCAACAAGAAAGGCATCTGGCCAGTAAAAGCTCAGGTCCATTCAGTTGCCCCGATGCAAGGGATTCCAGTAAAAGACAAAACAAATGTAAATTACAGGACTTAGCCTACGAGTCTCAGACGTATCTATCCAGTTATAGTTGGTATCCTGTATGGGTGAAGTTCAGATTCATCCTTGGAAGTGTTTGGCATTGAGCCATCCTGCTTTCTGAGCTGTGTTCATTCTGCAAGTCCCTTGGCTCGGTTCCTCTTCCTTTCTCTTTTCATCATCCCAGCAAACTTTGTCCCTACAAATAGGTGTTACTTTAAGACCCTCCTGTGCAGGTGTAGATTTGCAGTCATCCTGTTTTAAAAAGTGCCTACTAGCTTAGTAGTTACTAATATGTAAAAGTGAAAAGCTGAGGCTGTATACAGTGGTACCTGAGTACTCATTTTTTATTTGGTTCCGGGAGGCTCCGTGAGTACCAAAAATGATGAGTTAGCGAACAAATTTTTCCCATAAGGAATAATGTAGTAAGTTACAAGGCAGCCGACAGCAACAAATTCTAGCTTGCGCATTGTGTATCAAACAGTGAGTACCGGGACAATATTTTCATGTCAAAATACGTTGAATACCAAATTTTGATGAGTTTCAAAGCATTTGGGTACCAAGGTACCACTCTATTATTACTTTATTCTACTGCACTACAAAGAAGTCAATGCTGTTTTTTTTCCCTTTTCCTCTACACCTTCTTCTCTTCCCTTTTCTCTCCCTTACTTCCTATTTTCATTTTCCTTTGTATTTTATATTCTAATAAACTAATACAATTCTCTGTTTTTTAAATTGTCTACTAGCTTTGAGATAAGGAGCATGATCCCATGTCACGTTTTTAACACTGACTTTCTACTTTTGTCTTTTTGTTTTCTTTTGATATCTGTTTACATTTCTATCATATTACAAAATTGGACTAAAAAAAAAAATATGACAGCTTTGCAGTGGCTTTTCTGATGTTTTTAGCAGTTTAAACTTTCTCGAAGCACCATTAAGGAGGAGTTTTTAATTCGAGTTGTGGCAGAGAGAGGTTGTAGAATGAAAGAAAGGAACAATCCGGATTATGGTATTATCTTCCACTCCAGATATGGAATTTTTAAACAAGGTTTATAGTATGGTTGCACAATGTTATTTGGGAAATGGATGGCAAAAGTGCCTTAGATCTGGCTGGGGAATTCTGGGAGGTGAAGTCTGCATGGATTAAAGCTATCAAGTTTGAGAAACACCGCCTTACATTACTTTTGAAACAAACGTTCCTCTGATTAGAACAGAAGCTGTTGAGCCTAATTTTGATCATGTCAGAAATAATAAGATATAATAAAAAGACCGAAATATATTCTGAGGAGGTTTGAAAATACAATGAGGGGATAAGGTAAAGTTAAAGGTTTCTCTCGCACATCCGTGCTAGTCGCTTCTGGCTCTCGGGGGCGCTGCTCATCTCTGTTACAAAGCCAAAGAGCCAGCGCTGTCCGAAGACGACTCCGTGGTCATGTGGCCGGCATGACTATACGGCGAAGATGCACAGAACGCTGTTTCCTTCCCATCAAAGGGGTCCCTATTTCTCTACTTGCATTTTTATATGCTTTCAAACTGCTAGGTTGCCAGAAGCTGAGACAAGTAACGGGAGCTCACTCCATTATGCGGCGCTAGGGATTCGAACCGCCGACCTGCTGACCTTTCTGATCGACAAGCTCGGCGTCTTAGCCACTGAGCCACCACCAGGTCCCTAATGAGGGGATAGGCGTATGCTAATTTATTTCTTCTGATTGGACTTACCTCTTTGGGCCAAAACCTGTAGTTAATGTAGGGAAGAGAAACCAGGAGCCCTGGTGGCACGGTGGTTAGAATGCCAGCATTGCAGGCTAACTCTGCCCACTGCCAGGAGTTCAGTCCTGACAGAGGTCAAGGTTAACTCGGCTTTCCCTCCTTCCTTCCGAGGTCGGTAAAATGAGAACCCAGATTGTTAGGAGCAATATGCTGACTCTGTATACTGCTTAGAGAGGGAGTGTAAAAGCGCTGTGAAGTGCTGCCTTGGAAGATGGGTTTATTTTTAAATTGTGCCGTCTCAGAACAGACATACTTAGCCATCGGTCACTGTGTGGTTTCTTTTGGCACATTTCATCATTGGTCCATCTAAGAAACCTATTCAGGGGCTTGTTTTAGCCCCACAGAAGTTACTTTGTCCGATTCTGCAGCATTTCTACCAATGGTATTAAAATGTGATATAGCAGTCAGAATGGATCGTCGTAGTAAAGAAATCAGCAATAAACAGGAAAAGATGGCTTGGTATTTTGGGGGTGGGGGTCCTTGGTGCTCTTTGTTGTATGCTTCCAGACGTTTCATTACCCAACTCGGTAACGTTATCAGTGCGAGTAGTGAATGTGGGGTTTGCTCCCTGTTTATACACAGCAATTTTGTAGAGGTGTGGTTAAGATGAGCAGGGATAAATACCAGACAAATCAACCAGAAAACAATACCCTGATCAAGGAATGACCAAGGGGAAAACCACACACACACACACACACACACACACACACACACACACACACTGGCAGGGTTCTATATGAACAGAACTCAAACTCCACACTCACTAGCATTGATGATGTTCTCTATTAGGGTAATGAAAAGCCGACCAGCAAACCACCAAACCCAGAGAGCGCCACAGTTCAACCCTGAGCCACAGATATTCTCTTCTGTTGATGTTGCCTTATTATATTAAAACAGATTAACGAAAGAACAAGAACAAATATCCACAGCAGCTTTAAAGTGTCAGCGCATCAACTTTCCAAGCATTTGCATTTAAAACATATTAGAATAGAATAGAATAGAATAGAATAGAATAGAATAGAATAGAATA